AACACACATTTTTCCCTTCCAAAGCATATGTCCACCTGGGAGAAATGTTTAAGCACTATGTCCAAGTTCTCCAAGTGCTCTTTATGGTCTTCCCTGTTATTAGCACATCATCCAGATAAATGGCAACTTGGGGGAAGCCCTTGTTAAATGTTCTCAATGGTCTGCTGGAAAGGGCGCAGGCTGACGATACGCCAAATGGCGGTCTTGTAAATTGATATAAACCCTTACGGGTGTTAATTGTGGCATATTTCTGGGACTCCTCATCCAGTTGCAATTACAGGTAGGCATGGCTCATGTCCAGCTTCGTAAAGTACAGCGCCCCCTCCTCCCCACACCACCCTGCCCCGCCCCGCCAACTTTGCATCCAAATCCTCTACGCAAGGGATCGGGTATTTTTCCAGCTGCAAGAAGCGGTTTACCGTTTGCTTAAAATCCCTACAAAGGCGAACTGAGGCATCAGGCTTCACAATCGGTATGACCGGTGCCCAGTCTGCAAACTGCACTGGTTTGATGATTCCTTCACTCTCCAGCCACCTCATTTCAGCCTCTACTTTTGCCCACAAGGCAAATGGCACCAGGCGACCTTGTAAAGTTGCGGAATTGCTTTCTGGCCAACATGTAAAGTGGCTTTAGCCCCTTTGACAGTCCCAAGCTCTTCCTGAAATATTTCTGGGTATTTCACTAGGACTTCACTGAGGTAGCTATTTTCTAATCAAAAAATGTTGAGTTAATCGAGGTGAATCTTTCTCAACCAAATCCACCCCAACAGGCTTGGTCCCGAGCCTCTTACTACCATCAGTGGTAACTGCATCAACTGTTTCTCATAGGAGACTGCAAACGAAGTCATACCCTTGATATGCAACAGTTCCCTAGCGCATGTTCTCAGTCTGGCTGCGGTCTTGTGCAATCTTAAGGGTTGGAAACCCTAGTGAATCTTGTTAAAGACAGATTCTGCAACTACAGATACAGCTGCGCCAATACTGACTTCCATTGGAACTGGGTGACCTTTTAAGCAAACATTAATTTTTATTAGTTCTGATTTGGATGTCGCTAAGCAGTCTGGTTGTTGCAACCCACATGTAGGTGAACTTTTGAGGGTGTGCACTCTCCTGGGTACCGGCCTATGAGTTTTCAGACTCAAGTCAGTCTTCGTAGGACACCTTTGCTCTCTCGAGTCTGCATACCGACAGCAACAACAACAGCTTGCTGGCCCAGATCCTGAAGAACTTTTTATCCACTTGGCTGAGACTTGGTTTTTCTGTGGGGTTCTGCTGTGGGCTGGCCTAGGGTCCCTCTGCTCAGGATATGGCCTGTGTGTGGCTCTGCAAGTGCCAACGCTCAAGTGGTGTTCCCCAAGCTCAGTCAGACAGGTGAGGATGTCCATTTCCATTGGGATGCCCTGCAGTTCCCATGCTCCACTTCCCACATTTTCTAATGACAAAGCTAGTTGTAGTGCTTTTTTCTGAAGTCCAGTTGGACTTCACCTCGTAGGCACTTCTGCATGGTTACATCATTAATCCCACATACCAAACGGTCTCTCAGCATCTCATTCATGGTTAACCCAAAATCACATGCCTCTGCCAGTCATCTTAACCTCGTCAAAAATCCCGATATGGATTTCCTGATTCTCTAACAGCCGAATAAAACAGGTAGTGTTTCAGGATTAGAGGTGGTTTGAGGTCATATTATTCCTTAACCAAATCAGTCAACTCTTGGAAGGTTTTGGCGTCTGGTGCCTCTGGGAAAGTTAAGCCCCGTATAACCGAAAATGTTGTAGGTCGCAAGCAGTCAGAAGGATTACTCATTGTTTTTCATCTGCCTCAATGTCATTAGCCCAGAAAAAATAGCATTCTTTCCACATACTGGGCCCAGTCTTCGACGGCAGGATCAAACAAGTCAAGCTTCCCAAATAAAGGCATGATGTTAGGAATGCGCACCCCAACTCCAAGATGACTGTTGCGAGCGAATGTTCTTCAGACACATACTGTTTTCCCCTGTCGCAACTGAAATAACTGCACAGAGGCTGGTATCCCGTCACCAAGTCACCCTTTATTTACTTGTGCGCAGTATACTGGCTGTGACTAGCCAGCTCGGAGTCAGTCCCCAGAAGAGAGGAGATTCTAAATCACCTGTTTATACAGCCCGTGTTAATAACACCAATCAAGGACTTCCATAGTCAACAAGGTCAACCTGGTTCCAATCACTACTGTAGGAAACAATTAGGGGCATAGTAACGTATTTAGGAGGACATAACAGGGTGAAAAGGGAAAACGCACAGCAAATGAATATACAGTACAGGGGTGGCCACAGAAGTGATGAATCAGATTAATATAGCCATATGAAAGGATACAAAGCAATACTTTTCATTTCTAAAGGGACTGCATTAAAAGCAAAGTAATTCTGTCAAACCTGTATTAAATCTTGATGAGATTCCATTTAGAGCATTGACAGTTCTCAGCTCTATTTAAAAAAGTGCACCAGAGAAGATGCAAAAAAGATGTCCTAAAATGATATCAGAAAAATAACATCTATTATGAAAGATATATCATATTGGAGCCCTTTTGTCTAGAAAAACTGAAAGCTGAAGCGTCACTGGCTATAAATCTTTTTACATTATGAAATAATTTGATAGGGTAGATAGAAAGATGCCAGGGTTGGTGGTGGTGGTGGCTGGGGTGGATACAGAGAAGGGATAGGAACAGGAGACCATGAATGCAAGTTGTGCATTGATCGGGAATTCAGAAGAAACATTTTTTTTTTAAACCTAAAAAAAGTGATCACAATCATGAAGATGTCTCTACACTGAATTGTTCAGGCAACCGGCATAGGAAATGCCAGATAACCATCTGTTCCTCCTTCCAAATATGCTTATGTTCATGAAGTTAGATGAAGCCTTGTTTGGAACATAAAAATTAGCATGGCCCTTTGACTTGAATGAATTGTTTTTATGATGTATATGCTGCCCAGGCTGGATGGGGGTCTGTTAGCTCAGTTGGCTGGATAAATGATTTGTGATACAGAATTAATCCAACATCATGGATCAACTCTTGCACCAGCTGAGGTTACCATGAAGAACTCTTCTTCTTAATCTCTCCCCTTGCCCATGGCATGGTGATCCTCCGGTTAACAACACATGAGACAGCAGCGCTATGGTCTGTTTGGTCTATGGCCACTTTATATTACATTATACAGCATCAAGTTAATGCACAATGTGAAGCTGGTACAAGTTGGTTAGAGAAATGCAGAGCGGTAATATAAAGTAAACGATACAATTTTGAAGGAGGTGCAGAACAAAAAGACCTGGTGTGAGTGCACACAAATCTTCAGAGGTGGCAAATCAAAGTGAAAAGGTAGTATGAACACATGTCTTAGTTTTATAAACAGTTGTATAAAGTGTTATTTAGGCTTCAGCTATATTATGTCCAATTGACATCACACTTCAGGAAGGATTTTAAGGCCTTAAAGATGGTGGAGAAAAGAATGATCGTGGCATTAGGAACTTCAGTCATGCCTAGAGACTGGAGACTTTGTGGTTGTTGTCTTCACGGTAGAGAAGGTTTAAGAAGAAATTTGACAGAGGAGTTTAAAATTTGCCATGATCATACTGAATGGCTGAGCAGGCTCAAAGGTCCAAATGGCCTACTCCTGTTCTTATTTTCTATGTTTCAATCATGAACAGTTTTGATGGAGTAAACGAAATAAAATGGTTTCCAGTGGCAGAACAAAAAGACAAAGTGATCAAAGTGAAATGACTCCACAGAAGCCGGTATCTTGTCACCACGTCACCCTTTATTTACACGTGGAGAGTCCTTGATATTGGCCCAGCTCCCTCAGAGCCAGCTCTGAGTGAACAGGGTGTCTGACACTCCTGTTTGTATCTGTCAGCCAGGGCTCCCTGATGGGACCAGATTAACAACCCTGATTAGGGAACACATATTCTAAGAGATCCACCTTACTGAGCTCATTACAATCACTACACAGAGGATATAAGCTTAAGAAGAACTAGAAGCAACAGGAAGAACACTTTTAATGCAGTTAGTTGCTGTGATCTGGAGTGAAATACCTGGAAAGGTGATGGAGGTATAATCATTAGGAACTTTCAAAAGAGAACTGGATAAATACCTGAAATAAAAAATGCATTGGGCACTGGGGAAGAGCAAGGTAGTGGGACTGACTGGATAGTTCTACCTAAGAGCTAGCAAAGGTGTGACGAGCACAATGGCTTCCTTGTGACTATAGTATTTAGATTCCATCAGAGTGTAGTCACTTATTCTTTAAGGTGGCAGTGTTGCATTTCAGCAGCTGGGATGTGAAGAATCTTATGACTATCGGATTTAGATGACTGTTGCAAAGGATGTACCCTTTTCACCCAGAGGGTGGTGGGAATCTTGAACTCACTGCCCGTAAGGGTAAATTAAATAATATTTAGATGTGCACTTGCAATGCTAATTTCAAGGCTATGGGCCAAGTGCTGGAAAATGGGAACTGTGCTGTAGGCCTTTATGTGAAGCACGAATAAATTTTCAAAATCATCAACAGTCCTTCAGTTACAAAAGGAAATGATGTCTTAATCAGGAGCCGATTCAAAAAAGGTAGGGCAAGTCAGGCAGAGTGAAAGGTTTCTTAAATTTAGGATAATGCAAACACCACTGTGACCAAGACTTAAAAGATGATTCAAAAAAATCAAGTTATGTATTGCAATTAGTGGTGATGGGTTCACAATTCTTCAGAAGGGAGTGGATCAAATCTATTTATGGGAGAGACAATGGCAGCGGGCTTAAGAAGGGACTGAGGCAAACAAAAAGACCAATATAGCTTTCGGGAAAAATAGAGTGAAATATTGTTGAGTTCAGAATCTCACTTTACTACTTCTTCATGCAAGCGTTTAGCATAGGTTCTTCCTCTCATTTTCCCTTTCCAAACACATTGTCTACAGATCCAATAACAGTTCCTCATTTCTTTCATAAAGTGTGCGCACCCAGCCCTCTGCCTCATCCTACCCATGCTGGACTCATCCGTCTGCAGGATTTCTTCATGCTTATAGTTGCCATTCATTATTCTAGAGGAGGTGTTTTCCAAGACTCCATTGGTGTAGTGCTCTGGTTCCATTTCCATTTCACTATCACTGTTAAGCAACAACACAAATCAGATGGTAAAATTCTCCAATCCATTTCAATGGATCTTTCAGACTCAAAACAACTGAGATGGATACAAGTAGAATTCCTATCCTCCAATAAAACATACGAGGGTACAGGTCTTCATCTTTTCCTTTTCTGTCTTCAGTCAGACTAACTGGCTGCAGTTCTCTAGCATGCATGAATGCAAGCCAATCAGTCTTGCTCCAATTTAGGTTGATTCTTTCTTCATTAGGATGGTTGGGAGGGCAAACAGCTGATAGTATTCTTCATGATTATCTAATTGTCAAGAGGGAAATCTCAGACATAAGACTTCCAGATATTTTATTGGAGCTAATTTTTCTCACTTTACATAAAGTAGTTTCTCCTTTCTATTCACCAAGAGCGGAATACTCAAAGCTGGTGGGAATGAGGGGCAAATATGCTGGGACACACATCGGGATGACTCCCTGGCATTGTCCCATTGTCAGGGAAGTTTCTCAATAGCAAGTGCTGGGTGGGCAGTCAATTTATACATTTAAACGCTCTATTGAGAATCAGTTAACAGGGCTGCCAGCATTTTGCCAATTACCTGTGTAGGTAGGCCACTAGTTTTGTGGTAGCACCCTCCCTAACTGACAAGCTCCATGATCTCAAAGAGGGTCTCAGGCAGATCAGGCAGTCCTCGTTATCACACCTCAAACCAAGGGGTTGCCCAGCAATTGGCAGGGCCTCCCCAAATTTCTATTTTTTAAAAAAAATACTTTACTCTACTAGGGAGCCTCATTCTGGAGGTCAATTTTATTCATTCATTGGAAGTGGGGTCCATTGGCTGGGCCAGCTTTTATTGCCCATACCCAGTTACCCTTGAGGGTGTTTCCTGCCTGCCTTTGTAGTAGACACTTTTTCTGTGGGCACTACTGAAGTTTTAGAGCTGCATGCACTCAGAATGCACTGGCAGCACCAGGAGCATACTCACTGTACTTAACTGGGCTATGGACCTGCTGGCAGACAATTAGGAGGCCACCTATGGCAAAATTGATGAGCATATCCTGCTGCTAGCAATTTGGGACTTGCTTTCTGGCCCAACACTGGGATCACAAATACTATGGCAAGTCAGCTCCAAGTATCAATGGTGAAAGTTCTTTGTGCTATTTCGATAAATGCAATGATTTATTTTCTAAAACCCCTAGCACATCATTCACTATAAATGACGAACAGACATTTCCACAGTGCTAATTAATTAAAAGCATTTTAACTTGTTAAATAAAATTATATCAAAGTTGACGAGATTCAGCTTGAACTTTCAATGACTATTGACTTACCCATTTATCTCATTCTTTATAACTTCATATTAAGTGGCTTTAACTAGGTCAAACCTGCATTGAACTGTGCTTTGCATAGGAAGAAAGATCTGGAAACTTTTAAATTCTCAGCAAGTATACATTAGGAATAGCTAAATCAAGTATCTGTATGTTCTTGATTTTTACATCAAAAATAGAAAATCATATTCATTCAGCTCCAAAATGAATTAAAGTAGAGCTTCTCACTACAAAAGAACATTTTAAAATAGTGCTACTTTAAAATAACATTGTTCCAATATAAACACAACAAACTATGCATGCTAAGAATCCGAAACAAAGGCAGAGTGCACTGGAGAAACACAGCAGGTCTGGTAGCATCTGTTGAGTCTGTAAATCTGGAAAAAAAAACAACAAAATGCTACAAATATCATGTCTAGCATCATCTATGCAGAGAAAAACCAAGTTGGCATTTGAGGTAATCAACTGAAGCATTAACTTTTAAAGATCACTGACCTCAAACACCATCTTGTTTCCTCTCTCCACAGATCATGCAAGATCTCCTGATTAGTTCAAGCTTCAAACTGCTCTGTACAGGCAGTCCTCACTTTAAGTCTCCCATTTTAAAGATTTTTTTGTTTTAATGCTGTTTATTTTCTTTATGTCCACTCTCCTTATTTAACGTGCTGTTCTCTATTTTAGCATCCTTACTTCCTGATCATGCCTCATGTCTCCCTGATCACATCCAGGGGAGGCGATGGCCAACTGGTATTATCGCTGGACTGTTAATCCAGAGACCCAGATAACGTCCTGGGGACCCAGGTTCGAATCCCGCCATGGCAGATGGTGGAATTTCAAATCCATAAAATATCTGGACTTAAGAGTCAAATGATGACTATGAATCCATTGCCAGTTGTTGGAATAACCCATCTGGTTCACTGATGCCCTTTAGGGAAGAAAACTGCCATCCTTACCTGGTCTGGCCTCCATGTGACTCTCGACCCACAGCAATGTGGGTGACTCATAACTGCCCTCTGGGCAATTAGGGATAGGCAATAAATGCAGTCTCATCAGCGATGCCCTCATCCCGTGAATGAATTTTTAAAAAAAAAATCAGCATTGTGCCTCTTGCATTTTGCAGGAGTTGTTCATTTGAATGATCAGTGAAGCCCTGATAGTGCTGCTAGAGTAGGCACCACTGTTTCTGCACCCTACAATTAATGATCAAAGATCAACAATCCTCTGCTCAGATACTGAAATAAAACCTTTTAAAATACTTCTCTGCTGTTTGTACTTAGACGAGGACAGGAACTGCTGTGGACTTAATTTTTTTTACAAGAACTCGTTGCTGTAAGGTACTCTACTGGTAGTTTACCTTATTGTACAGTTACTGTAGTTGAGAATTTGTACTGTTACCTGCACTGTAAATTTCTTTAAAGACTTCTCTGCAAACAAGAAGTCAGTTTTCTTCACGGAAGCTTTCCTTAATTCACTTTGCAAGTTATTTCAGCTAGGAATGCACAATGCTGCACATGTATGGCACAGTAATTCAATTTTTACATTCGTTTTCTGAACAACAATTGTCCTCAGGAACCCAACACTGACTTTAACACAATGGGAAGTTATGCTTCACTTGAAGTCCCAATGCTTGAGAATGCTACCTGAACTGTAAGTGAGAACACCCTGTAAAGTCACAAATGATCAAATACATCATGTTGCAAGTGAAACATCTGTCTGGAGTATGAGTTACAAACATGCAATGACCATCACACATTGAATAAAGTTGATCAAAAGGATGCATAACCATATAATAACACAAACAGTGCAGTCTAAACTAACAGAAAGTAACCTCCTCCATTTAGATTTTTAATGAATGAATACATCAAATTTCATCTATATCATGAGAAGACATTCAAGGACTGCATTTGTGTTTTGTTCATCATACTCTGTGATCTGTGAAATGGAAATCTATTTGCCTTTATTCATCAAGACACTGCTATCCTTCTTTATTAAAACAAAGATTTGGTTTGATTGCAGTTAGGGTTGAGATAAACATACCTGGTTTCCTGGTTACTTGTACTACTGTGTTGCTGGGATTTGGAAGAGTCTGTAGAATTGGACTCTGAATAGTTTACAGAGGAGGGCGAGGAAGAGGACGATGATGATGATGATGAGGAACTTATAGCTGGATATTTGTTGTGCACTGGTTTGCTTTTTGACAACACAACTCCATTGCTGCAGTTTGGACTATCTGCTCCTGCAAGGCACAAGAACAGATTTATGTACAAAGAAAGTTGCCTATCACTAACATGGTTGTTGCTCTATAAATTGAGTTTGGTCTTTCTTTGTTTATTCCTTTCACAAAAATGATATGCTTCTTGGTTAGTAGGCCAAGAAGATTCTTCCAACTAAAAATATATCCATCTCAATGTTTTTCTGCCAATACGGTGACACTGGATTAGAGATTCAGAAATAGTGCACAGGCATAATAAAGCTGCACTTGTGGCACAAAGAATGCCTTGCAGGGGCAAGAGAGAAAATATCTGGGTAGAACTTGAATAGCAAATAGAACAAAGAGTAATGGTGCAGAAATATTATTGGAATAACCTTGGAACTGACTGTCAGAATCTAGTTTTCAAAGCAAGTTACAATAAACAGAATGCTACTCCTCATTTGGCAATTATACAACTGGAGATTTTAGTTATGACTATAATGCAAGACTGAGAGACTATAGCTTTAGTTTACCATCTTCCGTGAAGACAGACAGACAGACAGTGAGAACCAGAGAGTGCAAGCCAGAGCTTGCTAGACAAAAAGAGAGGTAATTGGAAAATTAACTACAATTATTCTGCTGGGGGCAGAGGGTTGATGGAGGTTATAGTTTTAGCAACTTAATTCAGTGCTTACAATTAAATTTTTGGATTATTCTAAGTATCACATATAGACAGTTCCTGGTATTAACTGGTGTTCAGTTATCAGAAAAAGACACCTTTTTGGATCAAACATTTGCGCATTAACCGAAGTTCCTGGAGAAGGAGTCATATCTCATCGCCTTGATGGCACAGATGAGACATTCTGCAGTTTCACAAAGGAATGTGGCCTTTCGAGATTGTTGAAGATTAGACGCAGGTGTCAGTACAAATCAAGAGTTACGGACAGAAGGGTGAAAGATGAAAGCACTTTTGGCAGATCTGAATATTACAACAGACAACAGGACTGGAACAGCAATAATAGACAACTGAATTTCAGGAATCCCCAGGAACCAATTAACATGTGTCTTAGATACAAATCAAAATGACTTTATGCAATGAACTGTCTAAAACACAACAGAATGATTTTGAAGTGACATGTGACAGAATTCAGAAGTTGAAGACAATGATAAAGATTTGCCTGATGGAATTGTACTAATTACAAGCAGCTGTAGTCCTGTAATGAATATACTGGTTGTTTAATTGTGCTGGTTTAAATAGGGGTTATACTTAGGAGCAAGCCAGCCTTCCATGAAAAAGGCACATATGAAACTGGGCGTGGAACACGATAAAGCAATCGTCTTTGGAAAGTGAAGAGACCTGCAATTTACTGATTCAGAGCATTATTGCAATTGCTTAGCAAAACCTGATGTTTCTAATCAGAATGTTAGCAAAGTGTTAATGGCATCAGGTTAAAAAAAACAAAGAGCCAAGATTACACAGACGATCTCCTTGCCTTTTTTGTCACAAATTAAAAATCCTTCTAAAAGATGCTAGTATAGCTGTAAATCTCAAAAAAGATTGGTGAAAAATATAAATAACCTAAGAAGTGAAGAGGATGCCACGACTTCTCACTGTAGATCTTTCATTGGCACAGAGTTATAGGTTTAGAAGACAAAGACAAACCTTTTCATCTTACATTTTATAGTTATTGCAGCCCAGTTCAGTTTTTCTACAGTAATACATGGCGAGGACAAAATGGTGATTGTAGATAAATAGTCATGAATAGAGGCGGAACTCAAACCACTGGCTAAATTTCTGACAATCAGGGGAGGGGAATATAATACGCATCAGCTGGTCTATGAGAGGAATTCTAATTTACATGCTCTGTAGAATGGGACTACAATTAGTTTAATTTTGTTGTGCAAACTTGAACACAGGAAGAATGGCATTCATCAAGGTCAAACTCTCAAAAAATTCAGGAAGTTCTCAGGCATTAGAGGAAAAATTTGAGATAAACTTTAAATCCTATACTATAAAAGTGAGGGTCTTAAACAGTAGAAAGGTCCAGTGATGATAGGGGGTGACAGTAATAGTGGATTGTCAACATGGTTGTCAAATTATTAGGGTCTATTCAGCATGGTTAGTTGAGATTGATTTTAAAATTTCAGAACTTGAGCAGTTACAGAAGGAAATGAGGCACCCCTGTATCTCTCATACTCACGTATTTGACAGTTATGAGGAACAGATGACAATAGATGAAGGGTAAGATAATGTATCCAAAGGACAATGCTTAGGTGATCCAGTGAATGGAGATGAAACAATTGTCAGCTTCTGACTGAGGCACAGTGGGCATATCTGTTTTGTTTCTTTTGGGATGAGTGGGGAAAAAAGAGGAGATCCTGCATTAGTAGTTCATGAAGCCATTAAGGAGCTAGTAGAGATCATAGTCTGATTAGATTATGCAACAGAATGAGGACGACAAAAACATCTTAAAATACAAGAAGCAGAATCCTTTATGACTAGAAAGTTATGGTGTTTGCCAAGACACCAGAATGTTTATATAGCATGTAATTATTCAGGTAATTGAGGTTACTTGCTTAAATCATTGACTGAGTAGATATAAAAGGGAAAACAGATGGGACTGATGTATAAAAGGAGCTGTAAGGCTGAATAGTTAACAGACCCTATCCACAAAGAAAGGTATCTTGGTTACTGTCTCACTAACTTGTGTGGGTCCGTATTAAATGTAGAAAATAAATTAAGAGGCAAAACAAAGAGAGTTAAACGGTTGCAAGGAATTTCATGTCTACTCAGCAATGTCAGATAAGGGATAGATAGCTTCATCAAGTAGGCAGATATATAGAGAAAAAATCCACCCAGGTGAAACCTCCAAGGCTAAAGCAGCAGCAGTGGCTTGGATCAAGGTTTCAAAGAGCATCTTGAAGATCAAGATGTTAATGTGGACATTTAACAGTGGATGAAAGTAATCCAGAAAATAGATTCAGCAATGTTCTATTGGTATCCTGGAGGGAAATTATAATGCATATTAGTGATTTTCTAAGGAGAACTGTTTTAGAATTCATTTAAATCCCTATAAATAAGTTTAAAGGGAGACTTTAAGCAACTTTTTTTGTTGAATTTACATTATTCCACAGACAACATTGACTTTTATAATATCCAATTGGTAAATAATTCTGACAATGCCTCTATAAAATCAAAAATTTACATGAGGCTTTAGGGACCTTTCAATATATAGGGTTAGACATTAAGAAGAATAGGTCTGGGGTAACCTTGAAAGTGCTACATTCTAATATATTGTTCTAGTGGTAGGGAAGAAAAAAAAATTTGGAAAACTAAACATGATTCAGTTGGTGGTAAAGTATTCCGGCAGGGGAATACTCCACTGCACACTTGCAGTTTGAAAACTCTTTTCCTTCAAGGCTGTTCCTCCCTCACTGTACTTGCCTGAACTAAAAAAAAAACAATACTGCTGATGATGAGTTAACTGGCAATACTAAGGTTAAGTATATAGGAGGTGGAGGTACAGGTACAGATTAAGCAATTTCGAGGAAACTAGGACATTGGATAGGAAGGAGGCAGACATTTAAAATGTTGTATTCTATAAATAAATCTCATTAAGTGAAGGATTGACATCTAGTTTCTTACTTCATCTAGCTATGAGAAACTAACAAAATAAAAGAGATGGTTAGAAGTACTTTGTCTGCAGAAACACTGGTTCTTAGAGAAGCAATAGAAAAGGCAGTCTCATTTGTAAAATATTTCAGAGGAAATTCTATGCAAGAGGCATTGAGAATAGTTTACCTACTGAATATCATAAAAATCATTGTTGTCTATGACATAATGTAAATTTAACAAGAAAAAGTGACTGAGAAAAGGTAAGGCTTGACCTTACTGCGAGTAAAGGCGGTAAGAGGAAGAAAATGTTTTTCTAAGATTGATACAAAATATCGACTGTCAGATGCTTTAAGTAAAGCAATAAGGTCTGAGAAGGAGAATGCCATGTATTATGATCTGTTGCACAGATAATGGAACATCGTTTGTTTTTCCAATTTGTGTGAAAATATGTTTGCATGCTGTGAAGTTTTGATTTATAGAAGGGAGATTGTGTTAATGGTATGTTAAATGCCTTAAGATTATACAAGACATGTAGGTTGAGGGTATTAACTGATTAAGTACCTTGAGCACATGTAAAAAGACACTTCTAGAATATCGATAACAACAAAAACAGAAATTGCTGGAAAAGCTCAGCAGATCTGGCAGCATCTGTGAAGAGAAATCACAGTTAACATTTCGGGTCCGGTGACCTTCCGCAGAACTAATGGTAACTAGGAAAATGTAGGTTTATATGCAGAAGGTAGGGTGGGGAAGAGGGGGTAAGGAGTAAATGATAGGTAGGGATAGAGTCTAAAGAGAGAGAAAAACAGTTGGACAGACAAAGGAGTGGATAATGATCTGGCTGGGAGGGTGAATAGCTGTTAATGGAGATGGTAAGTGGCTAACAATAGGTAGTGTGTAATGGCTATGAGATAACAAGGCCTAGTGTGGGAGGTAGGAATACCATGAATGTGGTAAAAATTTATAACATTAGAATTTAAATTGGATTTATACAGAATAAGCAAAAGACTGGATATCTGGTTTTCTACTTCGTCCCCTGGCTTTAAGAAATTTAACAATTATTTTTAAGCAGTCACTCTGCGCAGCGGGTGACATTTCTGTCTGAGCAAGAATTGAGGCTCAAATCCCACTCCAGAACTTTAGAGCCAAGGAAGGGGTGTTTGTGATACAGCTAAACAGGTAGCAAATCAACTTGTAAATCCTTCCAAAGCATGCCAACAGCAAGTGTTAAGAGTGGAGAGACATGATCCAAATAAATTGGAGCCTCTGTCATCACTATTCACACCGTTACAATATGCTGAGTGTTTGCCACAGCAACTCTGATACTTCGGGGGTCTGCTGGTCAACTCAGTCGGCTAGACAGCCTAAATGGATCAGACTGAATTCTGTGCTGGTGGTACCAATTTCCGTTCCATCTGTGGTGTCTTTGAGACCTGACTTCTCACTTAGCGATAGTGCTGTGATTCAAACAACTCAATAAGTTTACTTAAGCAGGCCGCCCATGTGCTAAGATATCCTGAAAAAACAAGGTACACAATGTCTAAATTAATAATCAATTGATTTGGTGTAAATCCCAAGATAGGAACCAGGTGATCTTCTTATTTTACCATTATCAAATAACGAAGGCAGAAACAACAGTGAATGCCATAGTGACTTTGTGTGTGTGTGTGTGTGTGTGTGTGTGTGTGTGTGTGTGTGTGTGTGTGGGGGGGGGGGCTAGCGGGAGGAGAGAGGATTCTTTCCCCATCAATATATTGCCTGGACTTAACACCATACCTGCATTGTTGAAGTGAGTGTTATTTGCTCCGTGTCTAGGGCTCATATTGGGTGATCCAGGATAGCTATCTTGGGACTTGGGACTACGGCCACTGAAACAGCGCACTTCACTGTCTGTACCATTCACCATCTCCACAAACTGCCGACACCTACACAACAAGAGCAAAGAATACGTCTTGAGCAAAACGAAAAGGACAAAATGAAAAGTCAAAACAAATAACTTTGAGAAAACATCCCATGAATGGTTTTCAACTGCCAGCTATCCTGTTTACAAATAATACAGTAGGCAATAATGCCAAAGAAACAGGAGCTGTCCTTTCTATGTATAAGTCCACTTGTTGTTGAAACAAAGAAAAGTTACCTGAACATGAAAATCAGGGTTCTACACCTGATTTTTAGCTTGTAATCTTCAAGTACAAACAAGATACAAACTAGATAGCAAGGAACCTGTCATTCAATAAAGGAACAATGGAGACAACTTCAAAAAAACCAGCACCAACTTTGGGAGGGCTGAACATCTATTACCAGTCTTCCTGCCTCACCTGGCTCTATGTTGCCATGTAAACTCCCACTCCTGTGTAAGTCACACCACTCCCTCCCAACAATAATACAAAATTTCCAGCTCAGCTTGTTCATGGAGCTGGCAGATCTCCCACATTTCAGTCTAACATAGAACATAGAACATTACAGCGCAGTACAGGCCCTTCGGCCCTTGATGTTGCGCCGACCTGTGAAACCAATCTGAAGCCCATCTAACCTAAACTATTCCATTATCATCCATATGTTTATCCAATGATCATTTAAATGCCCTTAAAGTTGGCGAGTCTACTGCTTTTGCAGGCAGGGCATTCCACGCCATTACTACTCTCTGAGTAAAGAACCTACCTCTGACATCTGTCCTACATCTATCACCCCTCAATTTAAAGCTATGTCCCCTCATGCTAGCCATCACCATCCGAGGAAAAAGGCTCCCACTGTCCACCCTGTCTAATCGTCTGATCATCTTGTATGTCTCTATCAAGTCACCTCTTAACCTTCTTCTCTCTCACAAAAACAGCCTCAAGTCCCTCAGCCTTTCCTCATAAGACCTTCCCTCCATACCAGGCAACATCCTGGTAAATCTCCTCTGCACCCTTTCCAATGCTTCCACATCCTTCCTATAATGCAGTGACCAGAACTGTACGCAATACTCCAAGTGCGGCCGCACCAGAGTTTTGTGCAGCTGCAACATGACCTCATGGCTCCGAAACTCAATCCCTCTACCAATAAAACCTAACATCCCGTACGCCTTCTTAACAACGCTATCAACCTGGGTGGCAACTTTCAGTGATCTATGCACATGGACACCGAGATCTCTCTGCTCATCCACACTACCAAGAATCTTACCATTAGCCCAGTACTCTGCATTCCTGTTACTCCTTCCAAAGTGAATCACCTCACACTTTTCCACATTAAACTCCATTTGCCACCTCTCAGCCCAGCTCTGCAGCTTATCTATGTCCCTCTGTAACCTGCAACATTGTTCCGCACTATCCACAACTCCACCCACTTTGGTGTCATCCGCAAATTTACTAATCCATCCTTCTACGCCCTCATCCAGGTCATTTATAAAAATGACAAACAACAGTGGCCCCAAAACAGATCCTTGAGGTACACCACTAGTAACTGAACTCCAGGACGAACATTTCCCATCAACCACCACCCTCTGTCTTCTTACAGCTAGCCAATTTCTGATCCAAACCGCTAAATCACCCTCAATCCCATGCCTCCGTATTTTCTGCAATAGCCTACCATGGGGAACCTTATCAAACGCTTTACTGAAATCCATATACGCCACATCAACCGCTTTACCCTCATCCACCTGTTTGGTCACCTTCTCAAAGAACTCAATAAGGTTTGTGAGGCACAACCTACCCTTCACAAAACCGTGTTGACTATCCCTAATCAAATTATTCCTTTCTAGATGATGATTATAAATCCTATCTCTTATAATCCTTTCCAACACTTTACCCACAACCGAAGTAAGGCTCACTGGTCTACAATTACCAGGGTTGTCTCTACTGTCCTTCTTGAACAAGGGGACAACATTTGCTAGTCTCCAGTCTTCTGGCACTATTCCTATAGACGATGACGACATAAAGATCAAGCCTCTCGCTCACACTTAACAAGCACTGATCAGCTAACAGTCTGTTTTAAATGAGACCCTAAGCTGAAAACGATTTGTGCTTCCCAGGGAGTCCATCAAGCGTGTGCCATTAATGGAGCTACAGCTACGTGCCCTCGCTTGAGCAAAACTGCAACCTACCCCTGCTCACATGCCATCTTCAAACAAACAAATCACAAGTTTAATGTATGAGTTTACTTACTTTAACATGAAGAGCAAATTTGGATTACGCTCAAGTAATCCTGGATATAGTTGTTGTGTTGCTTCTATAGCTTCACCCACTCTTCCTGATAAAACTAGCTTTTGTATTCCTGAAAAAGATGTGATAACTACAATTACCAATACAGTTTCGTTCCATTTTTATTTTAAAATGGTGAATCTTACCAAAATGTTAGTATATTGATGACCCAATCCAACCTGTACCGCAGAGGTAGCATCACCTGGTCAGAAACTGTTCGGAAATCTTTCCCATTTTAAATAAATTGAACACTGGGTCATTGACTGGACCTTTCAACTAAAAGGGCTTAGTTTAAATGCCAGTATTCATTGCTGAAGCATGGCTTTAAAAATGTTTTGCTTCAAAAATTTCCACCAACCACGGTGGAAAATTGTTGCAGACAAGCTTTTAATATTCAATCATGGCATGTAGGTTAGGGTTGGATCACAGACTAGGCAAGCATTTATTGCCTATCACTAACTGCCTTTCAGAGGGAAGTGGAGAACTCCTTCTTGAACTGATGCACTCCGTGGGATGTAAGTAAACCCACAATGCAGTTTGGGAGGGAATTCTAAGATTTTAAACTTAGGAACAGTGAAGAATCAACAATTTAGTTCCAAGTCAGGATGGTATGTGGCTTGGAGGGTTACTTGAAGGTGGTGATGTTTCAATTTATCTGCTGTCCTTGTCCTTCTACGTAGTAGAGGTCACAGGTTTCAAGGTGCTGTTTAAGAAACATTAGCAGTTTGACATATTGTATCTTGTAAATGGTATACACTCCTACCGCTCATTGTTGGTGGTGGAAGGAGTTAGAATGTCTATGAAGTGTACTTTGTCCTGGATGGTGCCAAGCTTTGAGTGATGTTAACAGTTTCACTCATCCAGGCAGGTGGAGAGTACTCTTCATCACACTCCTGACTTGTACTTTGCAGGTGGTAGATAGGCACTGGGGAGGCAGGAGGCAAGTTGCTTGACACAGCCTTTGACCTGGTCTTGTAGACACAGTATTAATATGCATGGCCAGTTAAGATTCTGGTCAATGGTAACTCCCAGGTGGGTTTCACAAGTAATTGATTACATTTGAGACGTGGTTATTACCATTATGTAAACAATCAACAGCTAATTTGCAAACAGCAAGATCTTATACAGTAGCGATAAATGACCAGTTTATCAGAATTGGTTGAGGGATGAAGGTTTGTTAGAAAATGCCTCTGCTCTTTCTCAAATACACATAGATGAAATAATCCATATCCATCTAAAAAAGAAAATACAAAGCTATTTAGCCAAGTGAGCCTATTTTACACCATCCAGGTTGATAAATACTGATCTACAACCGAACTCCATTTACCCACCTTTGTAAAATATGCCTTAACATCCTTTTATTAACACAAATTTATCAATCTTAAATTTTAAAATCAACAAATTATCTAGCATTAATTTGCATTTGCCAAGTGAACTCCTAATTTCCCTCACCATCAACCACACTCTGGCTCCAATTTTGGGGTTATGGCCCCTAGGCTGAATCTACTCAACCAGTAGAAATGAATAGCTTGTCTCTATCTACTTAGCATGTGAGAAATCCTTGAACACATAACTCCCATGTTTCCTGGCAATATAACCCTAGTTTGTATAATGTAGCCTTGGTGGAGTAACTTTGAATTACATACATCATTACAGTAAATTTCATAATGCTTGATGCCCAGAATCATTTACAGTACTTCAGGTGTGATCTAATTAATCAGGACAGTAATATAACTTTTATCCCCTTACATCCTCTAGCTATAGAGATCAGCATTCTTGATTTTTGATTATTTTTCTGTTCCTATTCATGACATTTTAATAATCTACTTACCTGGACCCCAAGTCTCTGATAATCACTGTTTCTACTTTTGATCTTTTGGGTTCAAAGTGGATGCCCTTAGATTTGTCGACACTAAAATCTATTTTCCCATAGTTTTGCCCATTCCCTCAATCTTTTAATATCCGTTCTACATTTCTGCTTCCACCCAAACTGTTTATAATGTCGCCTAATTTTGTTATTGTCAAACTGATATATGCTGCAGTCAATTCCATCCAAATCATTAATATATAAGTACTCATGCATCCAACCCAAATCTTTAATGGGCATCACAGGTCACATGCTGCCAATTATAGTACTGCTAATTACCCAGTCTCCACAGCCGATTTCATAACTAATCCAACAATTTGGTCTCAATTCCACGAGCTTCAACTTTAACTAGCAGTCCTTTACAAGGGTCTTTAATTAAATACTTTGCTGATGTCCATGTAAATAACTCCCATACACATTTCTCTGTTCACCACTTTAGTTACTCCTTCAAAACATTCACTTGGGTTCACTCATGTCATATCCTTTACAAATTCATTCTGGCTCCTTTTGGTCAGCTGAAACTCTAACCTTCACCTGGACTCTGGTAATTTCCCAATAGATGTCATGTTAATTCCCTGGTTTCCCTCTTTTCTCTTTTTTAATCAGGCAGTCAACACTTTTAGTTCGATGCATGATCTGAAAAACAATAGCTCTGACAACAGAATACTCCCAAATACTGCATTGAAGTGGTCGCACAGATGATGTTTTTAAGGCCCATCTAAGACCTGAAAAGATGACCTCTTGATTTAGAATGAGACTGCTAGCACTGAAACAAACTGACTATGGTACAGGCTCCTCAGAGTCTGTGTAGAGAAACAAGTAGGGCTTCACTAACTCCGCTTTACAGCAACAACTTTAAATTGCAGCATCACTGCACTTTATACTGCTATGAAAATAGAGGGTAAGGCTGGGTTTTGTGTCTGCAAGGGACAGACGATATCTCTAGAGGTAAGTTACTGATAGCCAAAAGCAAAGCTGTATAACCCTTCGAGGCAGCTAAAGTCAAAATATTGAATTCAAGACACTGTTGTGGGTTTGTTATTTATTACCCACAGCAGGAAAACATTATATAAACTAAACAGTTATTTTGTGAAAGCTTGTTTTTAGAAGCATA